AGATGATCTGTCTGTGTGTGTCTGTAGATGATCTGACTGTTGATGTGTGTGTTCTTGTCTCTTTCAGTCTTGCTGGCTTTAAACTCACTGCTCAGTGTTGTGAGAGTTTGTCATCAGCTCTACAATCCTCAAACTGTGTCCTGAGAGAGCTGGATCTGAGTAATAATGACCTGCAGGATTCAGAAGTGAAGCTACTCTCTGATGGACTGAAGAGTCCAAACTGTCAGCTGCAGATACTGAGGTTTGACTTTGACTTTGTTGAAATAATTGGGAATAAAACAGGGCAATGTCAAGTAATTTTTTTTCTTTTCACAATCCAACTGCTTTCCAAGCTGCTTTAGTGAAAATTGTGCCTTAATGTCTTGAAGACACAGTGAGCAGTTAAATAATAGGTTAGGTATAACCTATAAGTTAAATATTAGTTAGGACTTTGTAATAGAAAGGAAGATAATCAAAGAATATTTTATAAGATATTTTATATTTTGTATTTAATTGAGAGTTTCAAAGATACAGCACAGAAGGTTACTCCCAAGTATAATGGAAAATAGCTATTTGTTATAAAGTTATTTGAAAGAAAACACTTTTATTTCATTAGACATTATAAAAGTTGATGAATTGAGATGATTGACAGCTTTTTAGTTATTACAATCCAATACAATCCATTCAAATTTGAATAAAAACTTTTGTTTTGTTGTTAAGGCAACAGTTATTTATTCGAAATGGCTGCCATGCCAAATCACGCATACAGTATGCTTGCTTTTATTGTTCAAATTATAATGGTTTGTGAATGTAGCTCCTTCAATAACAAATAATTTATTGGGAGCATTTATGTTGGGATGTATAGATTGTTGCTAGGTGACATGTAACTTGAAACTATTTCATGACTTTCTATTTAACTATGTCATACCCTTGTCATTATACAAATTTATGTTCTCATTTGTCGCAAAAACACGCACGCACACACACACACACACACACTTTATCGGTAGATGAATCAAACCACATTTAAAACCTCAACAAATAAAAAAATCACTGTGAAAAAGAGAGAAACTCCATAATTTGTGGAAATGTAAATGTGAGCCGCTGGAGGACTGCATAGAAGGGCATAGGGCATTTTCAGACCTGTAGATTGTTTGCATTGTTTTCTGAAAAAGGGACTTAATTTGTCACAATGTTGCTTTTTCCTTTTGGTTTGGTTCACTTTCAATCCTTTATTTTTCCAGGAAGGTCCCACTGAGATAAAAGAAAATCTCTTTTTCCAAGGACTCCTGGCCAAGATGACCGTACTAAAGTTTCACATAGATAAAAGTAAAACACACAACACACAAGACGGTCAGAATAAAACAGTAGTCATGAATCAGCAAATTATTTTTTTAACAGCAGCAAGGTATATTCATTACACACTGCAATAGTTTTTTTTTAAATACTCAAAGAAGGAATTGCTTCTAATGGAGTAAAAGTTTGAAAATCGTTCCACAACCAAGGTGCATAGTAAAAGAAAGCTGATTTTCCATGTTCTGAATGCACCCCAGGTACTTGTAATTGGATCCTGTTTGATGATCTGGTGGAATAGTTCTTTCAACGTAAGCATAAAAGTAATGTAATTTGGCAGCATACCCAGAAATGCCTTTACAGTATACAATAACATATGTGTTTTCCTTCTTTGAAATAAAGAGGACCAATCACAAGTATGTGAGCAAGCATTTATAAATTGCAATGCAGCATGATAAACACCATCAGCCTTTTTAGTAAGTATAAAGAAGCATGCATGTAAATGTCACCATAATCTAAAATGGGTAAAAACGTTCTCTGTATAATTCGCTTTCTAGCTCCAAAGGAAAAACCGAAACCAATTTTTTTACTGAAAAAATTCACTTTCAGAAGGCAACACTGAAAAGTGTATCAAACTGTGTTTATGCAAGTCACGTGTGAGTAAAACACTGTCCTCTTATTTGACAGAGTTCACCTGTGTATGTTCCTCTGCATCATTCATCAAGATAGATTGATAAATTAGCTCCGCAGGCTTATTATGGCTTTATCTGTAGCTGTCGTGACACATGCAAACACTTATGCCAATGTAGCTGTCATTCCCGCTCTAGCTGATAAAATGCAGTTACAGCGAGAATCAAAAGCTGTCTAAACAGCATTCTTGAAATGTGCAGAGAAGATGCTTAAAATGCACCACCAGGTGTTGAATCAAACACTCCCAACACGACGTGACACATGCAAACACTTATGCCAATGTAGCTGTCATTCCCGCTCTAGCTGATAAATTATATATAAAATGCAGTTACAGCGAGAATCAAAAGCTGTCTAAACAGCATTCTTGAAATGTGCAGAGAAGATGCTTAAAATGCGCCACCAGGTGTTGAATCAAACACTCCCAACACGACTTCAGCTGCAGACTCGAATCACTCCAAACACAGCATCAGTGGGAGAACCAAGGACTCCGAAAAAATTCAACAGTAGATTCAGCGGGAGATTCAAACACTCATAGTTCGGCTTCAGCAGGAGAACAGAACAGGACTTAGAGGACGTCGAACTGCCATGTGAAACGCTACTCTCATGACACCGGATATTTTTCTATCCGCTCTAACAACGACGTCACATCCCGATAAGGAATATTAAAAGGGGAAGACCTCTTTTATTAGCAGCCTTCATCACATGAAATTCGCTACAGTGTGTCTGTAGATGATCTGACTGTGTGTCTGTAGATGATCTGTCTGTGTGTGTCTGTAGATGATCTGACTGTGTGTGTGTGTCTCTGTAGATGATCTGTCTCTGTGTCTGTAGATGATCTGTCTGTGTGTCTGTAGATTATCTGTCTGTGTGTCTGTAGATGATCTGCCTGTGTGTCTGTAGATGATCTGTCTCTATGTCTGTATATGATCTGACTGTGTGTGTGTCTGAAGATGATCTGACTGTGTGTCTGTAGACGATCTGACTGTGTGTGTTTGTCTGTAGGTTGTCTGGCTGTATGGTGACAGAGGAAGGCTGTGGTTATTTGTCTTCAGCTCTGAGTTTAAACCCCTCACACCTGAGAGAGCTGGATCTGAGCTACAATCACCCAGGACAATCAGGAGTACAGCTGCTCATCCACAAACTGGAGGATCCAAACTATAAACTGCAGATACTCAAGTATGTCAAACACTAATATTGACATACTGAACGTGTGTGTGAATGATGCAGATCTACATTAATGTGTGTTTGTGTGTTTATAGTGTGGATCATGGAGGAGAGGTCAGAATTACAGCAGGACTACGAAAGTGTAGGTCTACAAACACACGCACACACACACACGTTGTGTTTCCATGTTTTATGGGGACATTCCATAGGTGTAATGGTTTTTATACTGTATAAACTGTATTTCTATCGCCCTACACCAACCCTACACCTAAACCTACCCCTTACAGGGAACTTTCTGCATTTTTAGATTTTCAAAAAACTTAATTCTGTATGATTTATAAGCTTGTTTCCTCATGGGGACCTCAAAAATGTCCC